CATTTCTGATAAAAACTCTCAGTAAAGTTGGAATACAGGCAACATACCTCAACACATTAAAGGCTATAGATCACACACACACACACAGCCAACATCATACTCAATGGGGAAACACTAAAAGCATTTCCTTTAAGATCAGGAACATGACAGGGATGTCCACTTTCACTACTCTTATTCAACATAGTACTGAAAGTCCTAGAAATAAAAGACATCCAAGTTGGAAAGAAGAAAGTAAACTGTCATTATTTGCAGATGACATGATACTGTATATAGAGAACCCTAAAGATTCCACACACAAAAACTACTATAACTGGTAAATTCAGTAAAATAGCAGGACACAAAACAAATATCTAGAAATCAGTTGCTGTAATACATTAATAATGAACTATCAGAAAGGAAAACTAAGAAAACAATCCAATTGACAAGTGCATCAAATAAATGCAGTGGAACCTTGGTTCTTGAACTTAATTCGTTCTAGAAGGCTATTAGAGAAGTGACTTGTTCGAAAGCCACTGGGGTGAGGGTGGGCTAGAAGGGGTTAGAGGGGAAGGAAGGGGATGTATGTAATACTTTCAACAATAAAGATTTAAAAATGAAAAATAACTTAGATAAGCTCTTGTTCTGTTTAGGAAAAGTGGTATTTTTTTTTTTGGTGGCAGTGGTGGGATAGGAAAAGTGGTATTTATAAAGGCATTTTAAAAACAAATATAACTCTTCATTCCCTTTTCTTTCTGATCTTACTTAAAATAACAGGAGTCATTACTTAGATCAGTTTTGTTTCCACGTAATATTTATGTACGGCACAGTTAGTACTCTTTAAATACTCAAATTTTATTTATTATCAATGAAAAGAATGAGTAATTACTGCAAGGGTATTTCATTAATGACCTGTGTCTTTTTTATTTAATGAGTTCAAGGAAATTAAGATGCTTTGAGAACTCTCATTCAAAATATCAACTGAGAGCAGGTATAAAATTCTACATAGGCACTTCACACACACACACACACACACACACACACACACACACACACACACATATAATATAAACTCTTATTCAGATGAAAGGATGATAAGAACTCAGTCCAAATAAGTAAAATAATGAACAAAATTAGAGTTTTAATGAATAAAAGGAAAATACATACCATCTATACTAATAGAGGAATATGCAAATTGTCCAGGATGCTGTCACAGTAACGACCGAACAGCAGGCTGCGTGGGTGACCAGGTCAGCAGGGGGGTTAGTGAGGGACAACCTTATTGACAACAGAGCTACTTATTGACAACAACAGGCTGTGTGTGGCAACCAGGCCGGCAAGGGGGCTGTTGGGGGCAACCAGACCAGCAGGGAGGGCAGTGAGGGGCAACCAGGCCATCAGGTGGGGGCAGTTGGGGGTGACCAGGCTGGCAGGGGGTCAGTAAGGGGCAACCAGACCGGCAGGGGGGGGCATAAGGGGCAACCAGGCTGGTGGTGGTGGGGCAGTTAGGGGCGACCAGATTGGCAGAGGGGGGGCAGTTGGGGGCAACCAGGCCGGCAAGGGGGGCAGTGAGAGGCAACCAGGTCATCAGGTGGGGGTGACCAGGCTGGCAGGGGGGCAGTTAGGGGAGACCAGGTCGGCAGAGGAGGGCAGTTGGGGCAACTGGGCCAGCACAGGGGGCAGTAAGGGGCGACCAGGCTGGTGGGGGTAGGGCATTTGGGGGCAACCTAGCGGGCAGGCAGAGGTGGTTAATGGTGATCAGGCTGGCAGGCAGGTAAGCAGTTAGGAGCCAGCGGTCCCGATTGTGAGAAGGATGTCCCAGATTGGAGAGGTTACAGGCTGGGCTGAGGGGACACTCCCCCTCCCATGCACAAATTTTGTGCACCGGACCTCTAGTTCTTGTATAATGTTCAGAGCTACTGAGTATGGATAGGTAAGCTGTAAAAAATACAACTATGTGAATGGCTACCCACCCCCAACCCAGAGCAGTACAGGATTCCCCCTATATATCTTTACATGGAAACCCTGATAATTCTGTACATATTTAAAGAATTAAAAGTAAGCAGATATGGCATAGGTATAGTATATTGTATTACTTGATGAAGTTATGTATTTTCTACTGTGCTAAATATTACCAGGCCTCTCTCTGTCATAGAATTATACTCCGTGCCCCAGTGACATAAGGCTGGCAGTGTGACTTGCTTTGGCAAATAAAATATGACTGAAAGTGACTGTTTTGAACAGAAGCTTTAAGAGTGACTGATTGGTTCTTTCAGCTCTCTTTTCCCTTTGCCACAAGAGCAGCATGTCCTGGTTGGGGCTGTTGCTCCAGCCTGTTCTCAGAATAATAACAAGGAGGAGAGCTACTTGCATTATATAAGTGATAAAGATATAAACTTTGATATCATAGATTTGATACTGCAGCATAACATAGTGTTCACCAGAGTAAAACAACAGACCATATTTTTAAAATGTAAAGTCAAGTATTAAAATAAAATTTATACTTTAAATAAAGGTACTCCAAATAAATGTACTCTGTGCTCATTGCAGAATATCTAAAAAAGTTAAAATTACCAGTACTCTTATCATCCAAAGAAAATGACTGATAACTATTTTCTTTCAGAATATTTTCTTATAGTACACATTTTCTTCCAGTATTTTTTTTATGCATGTATATAATTAGCACTATACTTCACACTCCATTTTATATTATGCTTTTTATACTTATTGTATTTTCCCATGACATTAAGTCTCATAATATTAATGACACAATACAATAATTATATTGATGCAATGTAATTCAACAATTCCCCTGTTAAATATGTAGGTTTCTGATTTTAGAAAGCTTATAAATAACAGATGTGAACAATATATTTTTACATAAAATTTTGTATCTATACAGATTTTTCCTTTTGGCGGAGAAACAGTTTTCTTAATGGAAATATTTTTGAGATGCCTTTGATAAATTTAAGTAGATGTCAGATAGGCTTAGAGAAAAGGTCTAGCAGAAATTGTTGAAAGTGTCAAGACATGAATGAAAACAACTATTGCTGTTCAAAATATCTCAAAGTAGTAATATAATAGTTATTAATATTTGTAAAATACATTCTAAAAATCTGCAAACATACTAAGGCTAAGTGTAGAAAAAATAAGTGTACTGTGCATGTGTTACTGTAGGAGAGAGTATTTTAGAAAATTTACAACACAGAAGAAAGTATCTTAAAATAAATCAGTAGCTAAATTGTTAAAATCACATTATCAGAAGATTATAATCAATCAGTTCAACTTTTCTTGCTGTTAGTTTTCTTATGACTTAATGACTAATTTCTTCTTTAAAGAATGACTTTGAATAAATGGGAAGTAAAACCTTTTCCTTAACAGCATATAAACAAAGTCTGTGATTTAATAACAAGGTCAAATTCCTAAAATATATGTCTTCCAGTTTTATTTTGTTAAAAAAATTCAGCAGTTTTAATAAGTAAACCATTCAGTATTCTGCACATTCTTTAAGTGTATAAAATCCACAAAATAAATTTGTATAGGCAATTCTGCCATCATACACATAAGTTATATTAAAACATTTAATTTGCAAGTCAGCATGTAAAACTTAGAATATTCCTTCATAATATAAGTTAAGTAAAGAAAATGAACCAAGTAATTCAAAGTTTGCTGATTTTAATTCCTCACAACTGAAATCCTTCACAATGTGCTTAAGTGTTATTTTGAAGCAATTATGAGGAATTATTTTGAAAACATATCTTGTTATAAAGAGGTGTATTAAGAGAAAGGAAAATAATTTAACATTGTAATAAAGTTTTTTAAAAAAACCTGGATCATCTATCTATATTTTTCCTGAAAAACCTCTAAATTTTAAAATAATGTGGAAATCTATTATTCATGTGTTTTATGTTTATCATAGCTGCAACATTAGTTTTAGGCAGACTAACTAGTGATTATACTACTGAATTTGTAAGTATTATATTTTATAGGCTATAACTTGAGTGAACCTCAAGGAAATTAGGCTGACTGAAAAAAGCCAATCAAAAAAGGATACATCCTGTACGGTTCCATTTATATAATATTCATGAAATAACATTATTATAAAAATAGGTAACAAATTATTGGTTGCTAGGGGTTAGGGAAGAAGGGAGGGAGAGGTGTGGTTATAAAGGGGTACTATGAGGGAGCCTTGTGGTAATGGTATGTTAGGTGTATTGACTATGAAAGTAGGTACACGAAGCTATATTTTATCTTCTATAATGATAAAAGTGTTAATATGCTAATTAGACCAGACATCCTTCCGGATGACCTTCCGGACGAAGCCTGGGCTGCGAGGGAAGCCGGTGCCTGCAGCTGGGGGAAGGAAGGCCTACTCTTGCACAAATTTCCTGCATCGGGCCTCTAGTTAAATGGTAAGATTGCATAGAGCTATATACATATATACAAATGAGTACATGTGTAACTGGTGAAATATGAATGAGCTATGTGGACTGTACCAATATCAGTTTTCTGGTTCTGATATTTTGATATTGTGATATCTTATTAAGCAAGATATTAACATTGTGTGAGACTGGATGAGGGTACATGGGGGCTCCTATAATTGTTTCAAATAAAAGTTAAAACTTTTAATACTCAGTAATACATTAATAAACTCAAATATTCTTTTCAAAATAGATTTTAGATTACTAATGTTATTAACTATCAGTGTGTGACAAATTTATAATATTGAAAATGAACTTTATAGCTGAAAATAGAGCTGAGCTATAGGAGAAACACTTTCTTGTTGCCCTAAATGAAAATATCACTACACTATATTTTCAATTTGACATTTAAATCTTGGTAAAATAACTTCAAAGTCGACTTTATAAAGTATCTCCCATTTTATAACAAAGTGTTGCAAAATGAGCTATCTGGGGAAATGATGCCATGAAGTAAAATGACTGAAACATTGTCAAAATTAAACTGAAAAAAAAAGAACAGTTGTTTCTAAACAGTATTAATGTAAACCAGTAAGTTAATTTTACCTGATTTCCAACTTTGCTATTTCAGGTAATTCTCCAAATTTTATCTCTTCTACCTCTAGTTCTTTAAGAGCAGCCAGAATTTTCTGTTGATCTCTACTGGTAATTCCATTCTAAATAGATATAATTTCAAGGTGCGATAAGATAGTCATACATGAATAATATTCAAAATTACTATAGAAGTTTTCTACTTGATTCACATCTTGAAAAAAGATACATATAGAAAAAATAACACTGAAAAAATATGATTTGCTTGTAGCTGTGACTAAGAAGCTTACATTATTAAAATACTTAGATATGTAGTAACTTCAGTAAATTTTTTACAATACATAACAGTTGTGATGGATTCTAAAAATAAATGACTAGATTTTAATATATAGTCTAAAAACCCACAGTAATACAATTTTTCCTTCAAAATATTATTTGAAATATCTGTGATTACATGAGAACTGTCTTCTTTATGTTTGTATTCTACCCTTAGTATTAACTAAATTTTCTTTCCTGGATTTAGCTAATTAGTATGCTTATTTCGATTTTCAGTGATACTAAAGATTTCAAGTTTCAGTGTGTTTATGCCAATGTGTTCCAATATGTTCAGAAAGATCATTACTTTTTAAGTGTCCTATTTATTAAAGTAACTCTCATATTCCCCACAGTGTTTTCAAATTGTTGCTTAATAATATCAGATGATGAAATAACAGGTCTTGACCATTATGAGAATCCAGCAAAAGGCAATATTTGGATGACACGTTCATACTCATACAAAAAGCACCTCTTATTTCTAAGTAACCTGTTTTAAAATTTTAATTTATATTTAGAAATAAAGGAGGAGTTTTAATTGAAATGTCATGACTAATCAAAAGAAAAATCAATTCTTAAGATTTTGAATGTTCTTAAAATAACAACACCATAACAGAAGATTTTGGTTATCTATAATCATATATAATAAAAAACCTAGCAAAATATCACTCATGGTCTATAGCAGTGATGGTGAACCTATGACATGCGTGTCAGAGGTGACACACGAACTCATTTTTTTGGTTGATTTTTCTTTGTTAAATGGCATTTAAATATATAAAATAAATATCAAAAATATAAATCTTTTTTATACTATGTTTGCAAATATCAAAAAATTTCTGTATGTGACACGGCACCAGAGTTAAGTTAGGGTTTTTCAAAATGCTGACATGCCAAGCTCAAAAGGTTCACCATCACTGCTCTAGAACCTAGGATCTTTAAAATAGAAAATAAAAGGTTCCATCTAAAATTTTAGAAATATGAAAGATTATGTCTGCAGTTTTTGAAACTGATACTACCTTTGTAAACTCATCTTTCCTCATGGTCAAAAGATGTCTTAAAGTTATATCCCTTTCCTGTAGAAAGGAAAAAGAATGCCACCTTTTAATATAAATAAAACAGTAGATGAGGAAGTAGCCACATGCATATAAGTTAGTTACAAGCTACCTTCCTAAACAACTTTCAACTTTCTAGAGGGGATAGGATTATGCAGGTACAGAATTACACCACTAGGTAAATAGTAATAAATGTCAAAATATGTATAATTACCTTAAAAAGTATAAATATAGCTAGTTTTCCAGATTCAAAGACAATGATTACAATTTATATTTACTCTATATGATTGGATAGAAATTATGCTTTATGAATTTTTAAAATTTCTATTTATATTACATTAAACCACCAATAACATTTAGTTTTACTCAATATATCTCAAATAAGAAGTTTCAAGATTGTACAAGGAAGTCTAATTTTGAACTACCCAAACAGAATGTGCGTATTTCGAACGACAGTCTATCATAAATAGTGCTTTAATCCTTCAGTATCAATATATATATATATATATATATATATATATACACACACATATATATATATATATGCCTAAGTGACCTGTTGACTGGCCAACTGCCCGGTAGCTATAACGTGCATTGACTACCAGGGGGCAGATGCTCAATGCAGGAGCAAAAACCACAGACATGGATACATGGAACAGACTGATGAATCTCAGAGGGGGAGGGCGGAAAGAGATTAACCAAAGATCTTATATGCAGCCTAGAGGCCTGGTGGGGTCCCTTGGCCTGGCCAGCACCCTCTCGCAATCTGGGACCCCTCGGGGGATGTTGGAAAGCCAGTTTCAGCCTGATCCCCTCAGGCCAGGCTGAGGGACCCCACCAATGCACGAATCTGTGCACTGGGCCTCTAGTTTGAAAATAAAAGAGGAATTAAATATACACGCAGAAAAGCATAGAAAAACATCAAGATAGGGTGCACTGGTGGGGTCCCTTAGCCTGGCCTGCGAGGATTGGGCCGAAACTGGCTCTCTGACATCCCCGAGGGGTCCCAGATTGCGAGAGGGTGCAGGCCAGGTTGAGGGACCCCACCAGTGCACGAATCCGTGCACCAGGCCTCTAATTATCTTATAATTGTCATCTATTCAAACCCCATAATTCATACCTAAATTACCTGTAACAGTGGATGGCATATGAATTTAATCTTTATGATAACCCTACATTAGGTATTATTATCATCAGCATGAAAAAAGGAGATATTTAAGTAACATATTTCAGTTAATAATTATTAAAGCAAGAATCTGATCCCAGGTTTATTTGGTTTAAAATCATGCTTCTTCTAATATTCTATACAGGAAGATAAGCAATTGCAAAAACAAAGGGCTTAGATGTACAAGCAGGATTTCGTGAAGCTTTAGGCAGTAAGTAAAAGCTGTTTATCCCAGCCATAAAATTTACATAAATTTATAGAATAATAAATGTTTAAAATGCTTATAAGTACAAATTTTTGAAACTCTTTTAAGAACAGATTTTCAAAATGCTTTAAGTACAAATTACAGAAAATAGTGCATTTGGGACTCCTCATAGGCATGCATGTTTATGGGTATTTAATGTCATGTTAACCAACAAATATAAGTAATTTACTGTAGCTTATACAATGTCTTACCTTTAATAAATCTGTCATATGTTCAAGTCCAAGACCATGTAAAAATACTTCCAGGTCTCCAAATGCTGTATATGAACTATATATATTTATAGCAATGTCAATTTCAGAAAAAGACTACAAATGCCCAAACAATAAATAAGTATTTATAATGCAGAGAAAGAATGAGAATGAGTAAAAATGACTATATGTAAAATATATTTGCATATTTACACAACAGCTCTATGTTATATCAGGAATAAGAAAGGTTTCTTGAGTAAAGATATAAGTAAACATGTGACAGTAAATGGTGATAGTAAAATATAGATAATCTTTCCTAAGAATGAAAATAACTGCTGATATGTGTGTGTGTGTGTGTGTGTATATATATATATATATTCCTTGTGAGATTTTGTATAAGAAAAACTAATTGCAGAAAATAAGAATTTAATAATAATTTTAAATATGGGTAAATAGATAATAATTTTGTGGCCTATACTGAACAATGGTGTTCAGAAAAAAATGTGTATTTTTAATTTTAGCTTATAAAAATCAGAAATCTGCTAAAAACTTAGTGTTCAAAAAAACTGAGCACTAACAAAAACATAATCTTAGAACCTTTTAGAAATAAATTTTATCGTGGATATTTTGTATAAAGTCAAAAATTATCCTCATTACTGTCAATACACACATATAAAATTTTTCTAAAATTCTGGAGAATAAAGCACTTAGAAAACAAACATTTCTAAGTGATATTAAAAAATTCTTATAAGTTTAAGATATCATATATCACATTTACTAGAAGTAATAAAGTCATGCACAATTTTTACTGAATTATAGGTATTCTGTTGAACAATAAAAAGGTTTTTTACCTAAATATGCTATCTTTTTCTTTATCAGAATCCGTTGTCAATAGTTTACAAATAGTCTCTTCTTTAGTTAGCTGTTGAAGCTTTCCTTTCAATGGATTTAAAGTCAAAGAAAGAAAGCTGAAGATCTGAAAAAAGTTGAACCATTCAAATACAGCTAATAATATTATATACTATTACTTAAAAGAAACTAAATGTGATTATTTTATATCTAGAATAGTGGTTCTCAATACAGTTCCTCATGTTGTGGTGACCCCCAACTATAAAATTATTTTTGTTGCTACTTCATAACTGTAATTTTGCTATTGTTATGAATTGCAATGTAAATATCTGATATGCAGGATGTATTTTCATTGTTACAAATTGAACATAATTAAAGCATAGTGATTAATCACAAAAACAATATGTAATTATATATGTGTTTTCCGATGGTCTTAGGCGACCCCTGTGAAAGGTTCGTTTGACCCCCAAAGGGGTCGCGACCCACAGGTTGAGAACCGCTGATCTAAAAAGAATTTTTTTCCAAGGTGAGAGGGACTGAACTTTCACAATTTACTATCCTGAGGATAACTTTTTATAAATTAAGCAAATATTTCCTTGATTAAAATAATAACCAGAGCCCTGGCCAGTTTGGCTCAATAGATAGAACATCGGCCTGTGGACGAAAGGGTCCCAGGTTTGATTCCGATCAAGGGCACCTGCCTGGGTTGCGGGCTCAGCCCAATGTGCAGGAGGCAGCCAGTCAATGGTTCCCTCTCATCATTGATGTTTCCATCTCTCTCTTCCTCTCCCTTCTTTGAGATCAATAAAAATATATTTTAAAAAAATAAAATAGAATAATAACCAGAAAAGAAAATAAGTACATCTAATTAAAAATAGAAAAAACAAAAGAATGTACTAATTAATATTTTCCATACAATATAAAACAAAACGAAAAATTCCATTTTGGTAAATAACTCAGATTGAGTACTAAGGTAGTACTTTACATACATGGTTAAGTAGGTAGAAAGTAGTAAGCATGGCTAAATGTATACAAATCCCAACTCGATACCTCAAAAAGATATGGGGAAATTCCTTAGTTTTAAAATATAACTTTTTAGTAATTCAAGGTTATGCTACATAATTAGCCAAAATACAAAATTAAATCTCACTTTAAGAAACAATTTAAAACTCAAAATAATCATTCATATTAGTATTGTTCTTTGATGTTCTTTAATGTTCTATTTCAGTGTCACATACCCTAGATTTAATAATGCAATAAACTAATTAAAAGTCCTCAAATCTTCGAAGCTTAGAAGAAAAAAACTACAAATTTCTTCTTCAAGTTTCACAGAGCTTTAGTTATCAGCATTTACTCTAGAATACAAGTGACAACATAACATGCCATAGAAAATTTAGTTTAATATATAAAAGAATACCTCTAGATGTTTATTTCTTTTTGCAATCTCGCTTGGTGTATTTCCATGTTTGGTTTGTAGCATTTTATTAGCTCCAAGTTCAAGCAACTTCAAAACTACATTTTTATGACCCTGACGTGCTGCCCATGTTAAAGCCTGGACAAGCGGGAGGCGGGGAGGAAAACATTGTTTAAAAAGAGGAACTGTATATGAGAGGAAGAGAACAATTAATAAAATAAAAAAGTAAACATGGTTAATTAATGAAATGATGCAATCTCTTCCTTTCACAATTTAATGTAAACATATTTCCAAAGTTGTAATTGCAAAGCAAACTTCTAGTACTCAGTATAAAAGACATGTTTTACACATTCAAGTGATGTTATATAATAAAATGGCCTATCTGCCAACTACTGAATTGTGTTCTATAAAAAAAGAATTCTAAGTGTATTCTGGAGCCCAGGTTTTGTTGTGTGTTACAGCTTCTTTGTCAATGGTGAGGACCAAGAGAGACAGATTAATTCCTTTTTTTATATTTCAGCTGTTGCTTTTCTTCATCAAAACCACAATTATATCCTAGCCCTTCTGTAACTTTTATTTCAAACATTTTTGTGGCCTAATACTAATAATTATATCAATGTATTAGAAATAAAAAGGAACATTGTGTAATGGATTCTCACAGTATAACCATTTTCATCCTGGGTATTAACTTCTGCTCCATGAGCAACAAGGAGAGCAACCACCTGAGGGTGACCATCTCGTGCAGCATACATGATTGGAGTCATAAGTCTTCTAAAGAGGAGGAAGAAAAGAAACATTTGTGTTAATGCTTCCATTAATAGTTACTCAAGTTCATGAATACACAATACCATCAGTATTGCTTTGAAAGCAAAAAGAGAAATGAAAGCTTTTAATAAATCAGATTATTTAAAATCCAATCTCTGGCAAATAAAAAAAACGAACACTTAAAAGTATAGCATGCGCACACAGCACCCTCTAGTGATGAAACACGTTTAAGAAAAAAATCACAAAATAAACCACACTTTCTAATTTGAAGTTTCATTAATTTACATATTCATATAGAAACATATCAGAGTAGCCACACTGTGCTTATGCTGAGAATATAGTAATGAGTAACACAAAAAAGGTCCCTGTCCTCAGAGAAATGTTCAAACTTATTGTACATTGTATTTTATATAGCAGTTTGCTGAAATAAAAATGTAAATTTAAGACTTCCTCTATTTCGTAAAGTATTCTATTACAATTCTACTTCAGTTTACCACTGAAAGAATTCTACTTCCGTTTACGACTGAAATAATTTTACCCTGACTTGGAGGATTACTCTAATCAAGAAAGAGATCAATATAATAGTTCAGCCAAATTCTCTGAGACTATTTTCGGGGAGAGCATAGTGGTTTCCCTCTAGTGTATCATTTTCCAAAATTACAGGTTGAATCCCTCTACCTCTAGAAATTAGTCATCCTCTGGACCTATTACAAAGGACACCAAATAGGTCCTATCAGTTCTATTTGGGATGAACTTATATTGTGGTCTGTTTTAAAGGAGGTCTGGGATTCTAGGCCTAATCTTCCGGAGTCAACTCAAATATCTAATTTATATACAAAGAACTTCACAAAGGAACAACGAATTTCAGAATTCGCTATTTTGATCTCATTAAAGAAATTCATGGTTACTCACATTATATACACTACCTTAAACAGAATATTTCGTTATTAGGTTTATTAACATAAGGTACAACCTAACTCTAATCACTGCACTCCAATGTCTTTAGCACAAAAAGATTTACACATTTATCTGTTTCTTCTATTTCCCAGTATATTACAACTTTAATGTTTTACTGGAAACTATATGTAGTTGCCAAACATTGCCTCTTTTACCTTGAATATCTCCTATACAGTGCTTTCATTAGACAATTTTTACATGATGAAGAGTGAATTTCCTGGATAACTTAAGCAAACAGAAAATATATACAATAGAAAAAATTTATTTGAGTCAACTAATCATTCAAAATGTTCACTAAGTATAAATCAGATCTCTTGAGGCCTTTCCTCCATCCCACTTTCCCCACAATAGCTCAAATCTGCTCCTTCCAATCTTTCCTATTTCACAAAGCTACCATTAACCACAGGCCTAAGACTAAGCATTATTTGTGACTATTCTCCATCACTCCATATATAAGACATCAGCAGGTCCTATTGGATTTACCTCATAATATATTATGAAGCTAACCACTTCTCACATCTTGTTAGCCATTATAAGCAGTCCAAGCTATCATTATCTTTCTCTGATCTATATTATTGTGTAAGTCTCAGAATTGTTCTCCATGATTCCTCCTTTGGCCACTTCCAGTTTATTCTTTATGAAAATACCAAATTATCCCCCTTTCAGGGACTGTGAAAGTGCTGTTCCCTCTACCTTTCTCTAAATCTTCATATTGTACATTTCTTTCTCTTTAGATTCTTAAGAAAAGATCAATAAAATTGATAAAATATAGCCAAACTGATCATGATAAAAAAAGGTGACACAAATCACCAATGTCAGGAATAAGAGAAGTGATATCAGTACAGAGTCTCCAGAGTTTGAAGTATAAGGGAATATTTATGCCAGTAAATTTAAAATTTAATTAATTGATTAATTTATTTTTAATGGAATTGTTCGTATATTTGTATTCTATTGTTACATAATAAATGATCACAAACTTGGTGATTTAAAACACCCATTTCCTAATCAGAATTCTGTAGGTCAAATTTTCAAGTATGGCACATGACTGGGTTTGTGCTCAGGGCATCTCAAAACAGTTATCATATTGGCCAACCCCTAGGAAAGAGTTTCATTTACATGCTCATTTAGGATGTTAGCAAAATTTAGTTCCTTGTGGTTGTGGGACCGAGGTCACCATATCCTTTTATTTTTTTAAATCTTCATTGTTGAAAATATTACATATGTCCCCTTTTTGTATATTTGATCATGAAACACAGGATAAATTTCATAAACTCATTCCACAATATAGCAAAATTGGTAACCTAACTAAAGTAAGCTGGCTAAAGTATAATCTCAAAGAGGTGATACTCTGGCAGAGTATCCAAATAAGGTGACATAAAAGTGTAAGTGTCCCATTTGATTGAACCTTATTACTGAAAATTATAATCAAAATTTTCTGAATTTGAACTAAAATTTGTTCTGAAATTGTACTGAAAACTGAGGTTCTTCCAAATTTCTCTTAATCTCAGAAAGCAGCAGGGATATAGTTTTGTTTGTAAATTTTCATGGGTATAAATGGCTTCTTATAGATGCCTATTTCCTCTTAGATAAGAAAACTACTAGACATATAGTTTGCTTACTAAAAAGCTTCAGAACACTACTAAAATGTTACAACGCTTGTATTAGTTTCTAACTTCTAAGAAAAGTTGAACTTACTGAATGGAATAGCAAACTATCAGTAATAGGATCTAGATTACATAAAAGATATATTACTCAACTTCTAAACTGTTTTTTTTCCTTTTTTACTGAATTCATTGGGGTGACACTGGTTAACAAAATTATATAGGTTTCAGGTGCACAATTCTACGACACATCATCTATACACTGTATTATTATTCACCACCCCAAGTCAAGTCTCTGTTGTCCATTGCCACTTATCACCCCAATATCCTCCTCAACCCCCCACCCCTGCCCTCCTACCCTGCATTCACCACACTGTGGTCTATGTCTATGTGATGGTTTCCTTTGCTTTGCAAAGTTTTCAGTTTGATATAGTCCCGTTTGTTTATTTTTCTTTTGTTTCCTTGCCAAGGGAGATATATCAGAAAATATATTACTATTAGTAATGTCCAAGATTTTACAGTCTATGTTTTCTTTTAAGATTTTCATAGTTTTGAGTCTAATGTTTAAGTCTTTAAATCCATTTTTAGTTTATTATGTATGGTGTAAGAAGGTGGTCTAATTCAATTTTTTTACATATCTGCTCAATTTTCCCAGCACCATTTATTGAATGGACTATTTTTACCCCATTGTATGTTTTTGCCTTCGTTGTCAACTATTATTTGACTATAAAAGCTTGGGTTTATTTCTAGGCTCTCTCTTCTATTCCATTGATCTATATGTCTGTTTTTATGCCAGTGCCATGCTATTCTGATTAATATGGCTTTGTAGTATACTTTGATATCATACAGCATGACTCCTCCAAATTTAATATTCTTTTCTCAATATTGTTGTTACTACTCAAGGTCTCTTGTGGTTCCATATAAATTTTGGGGATATTTGTTTTAGTTCTGTGAAATATGCCATTGGTGTATTTTTTTAAATCCTCACCCGAACCAGCAACTTTTTGGTGCATGACTTGATGCCCAACTACTGAGCCACACTGGCCAGGGCATAGCCTCATTTTCTAAAAATTCTTTTTAGTTTGTGCTGCTCTGATTGTTTTGTTTGTTTTTTTCTAACTTGTTTTCCAAATTGGATCCTCTGCTTTATGCAACCTATTGTTGCCTCCATTTCTTTTAGCTCTTTTTTCTGGAGATTTATCCTGTTCTTTCATTTGAGGCCTTTTTCTTTGTCCATTTTGGCTGCCTCTTTATGTTTGTTTCTATGTATCAGATCGTCTATGACTACTTGTCTTCATTGGGTGGCCTTATGTAGTAGGTGTTCTGTGGGATCCAGCAGTGCAGTTTCCTTGATCACCAGGAATGGCCCTTGTGTGGGTTATGTGGGCCCTCCTCTTGTAATTGAGTTTTGATTGCTATTGGCCCATTTGTGTGTGGGATGGGGTCTCAGGCTGGCTGACCGTTGAGGCTCAACCGTGACCATGTATGCAAGCTGCTGTGCAGGTGTTACCCACAAGAAGTGAAATTCACCTCAGCAGGGTATGGCCCTTGCTGAGATTTCCTTTTGGATACCCTTCTTGTGAAGCATATTAGATCCTTCTTTGACGCTGTTTGAAGCTGACCATTGGGTGTGTTGGCTCTGAGTCTCTTGGGAGGGTGCGTACCAATGTTAAGATGTTATCTGTGACTGGCCCTTGGCAACCTGTTTTGGAGCAACAAGTGATCCACAATCTGTGGCTGCCTTTGCTGGGCTTGGGTACACATGGGAAGGACCAAGCTGTGCACCAAGGCCAGCTTTTACTAGCACCAAGCCCAGAGGCCTTTCATCAAAAGTCCCAAGGCAGCCAGAGTTCCACCTCTGCCTGTCAGCTTCCTGTTAAGCTCAGTCTCCTGGTTGTACTCCTCAGCAGGGTGTAAGCTTAACAGGGTGGGGTGAGAGGGAGTCCAGATGGTAAGACTATTGCTTTCTCCCGGCTCATGCAATACAAGGGGAGAGTTCCGCTCAAGAAATATGGTTCCTGCAGTATGGGAGAATGACTCAGTACAGAGATACTGGCAGCTGTCTCCTTCAGCTCCCTCCCCAGAGGAATAATGCCCAATCTTACCTCACATGACTCTAGTCAACTCTGCCCTCCCTCTACTGGAGCTCTGGGTGACTGGCTGTGAATGAAATTTTGTGTGTTAGCCCTGTGTCTCTAGTGGACTACCATCTCTCTCTGGTGGACAGAAACTCTGCTGCTGTCCACAGCCAGATGTTATGTGGGTGCCTTTTCTAGGCTCTGATGCTCTGGGCTGAGGAACCTGGCTCGGGGTTTAGACCCCACACTTCTCAGAGTGAATCTCAGCTGACCCAGGAGGTGTAAGGCCAGCCCTTTTCATGACTCCACCCTTCCTATCAGTCTTGATGTTGCTTCTCTAAATCCTTGGTTATAAGACTTCTCTTCAGCT